CCCCCCATCTTCTCCTTGCAGACCTGCTGCTCACGTCTTTTTTTTTTTTATTATTCCTTCGACCTGAACCATTTTTTTGCTCAACAAATAACTTTGAGCCAGTCAGAAAAAAACTGGAGGGTTTTTATACTTTTGCCCGAGAGGAGAAAGAAACAAACGGTGGATTTATGTTATCGTTACCAACGCTTTTAATAATCGATTTTATCGATTTGTTGTTGCAGCCCTAGTCACACTAGTGCCATATATTCACTGGAGCAGGGTTAGGGTTTGTAGTCTTCATCACTGGACGTAACATCTGTGGATCTGTCACAACTTCACCATTTAAATGTATGAAGTACATTTTATAAAAAATATACATTCATATAGGAAGCTACAACTGATTTGTACAATGGAGTGTTAGGGCCACACAACGAGAATGTTTTTTTATCATTATTACTAGATTAAAGTCATAATTTTATTAGATTAAAGTCATAATTTTACAAGAAAAAGAGTCAATCTTACATGACGTGTCCATTTTCTGTTCCTCATTTCCTCTCTATTTTTCCTCACACCTGCTGTACAGCCATGTGTCTGTGTTTATAAAGTAATCTGCAGTGACTTGGGTCACTGTTAGATTAACTTGATTTCATCCAAATTAACTATGTGACGACTAAATCTGTCAATGCATCCATTAATTACAATACAGCTTCAGTTTATAGTCGTTTGCACAATTTCCAAGTCCTGCTACTGATCATTTGATGCTAATGTGCTAAAAGATTAACTATTTATTTATAACAATAAAGAACAACTTCTCAACATTCCTCCTTTTAATGCAGTGATAACTGCATACTTTTTCATGTAAAGGCTAGAATATTATGATTTTTTTCTCGTAATATTATGACTTTATTCTCATAATATAACTAATCTTGTAATATTATGACTTTATCGTAATATTATAACTTTAATCTCGCTATATTATAACTTTAATCTCGTAATGTTATGACATTATCATATTATGACTTTATTGTCATATGACATTATCATATGACTTTAATCTCATAATATGACTTTATTATGACTATTCTCATATGACTTTATTTTCATAACTTTAATCTCGTATTATGACTATTATGACTTTAATCTCATAATACTTTGACTATTGTAATGACTATCCTCATATTATGACTTTAATCTTGTAATATTACGACTTTATTATAATATGACTATTATAATATGACTTTAATCTCATAATATTACTATTCTCATATTATAACTTTAATCTCGTAATATTATGACTATTATGACTTTAATCTCATAATACTTTGACTATTATGACTATTCTCATATTATGACTTTAATCTTGTAATATTATGACTATTCTCATAACTTTAATCTCGTAATGTTATGAATTTATTCTCATATGACTATTTTTATACAACTTTAATGTGATATGACTATTCTCGTAATTTAGAGGTTTTTTTTTTTCTTTATGAGAATAAAGTGGCCCTAACACTCTGTTGTCGATTTGACCAAAGCAGAAGAAATGTTTTATTGTTGAACTGCAGGTTTTATTGTTGAACTGCAGGTTGACCCTTCTAGCTGTGAACTTCTGCCACCTGCTGATGTAAACTGAGTACTGCAGAGTAAATACAGCCCATAATATCTGACACTAAGGTAAACTACAGTAAATTATCAGCTGCTGCAGAAAGACAAACTTACACAAACCATAGTTTCAAACCCCATCAGTGGGCGACATGCATTCCTTCAAGGATTGTTATCTCTAGTTTGTCGATGAGCCCAGTATTCCTGGTCCACGCGGACATATTTATAATTGTTTGATGAGTTTGACAGACAGAGAGCCCACATGAGATAAAAACTCAGATACAGGGTTGGTCCTGGCAGAGGAGGAAGAAGTGATGCTGATAGTTTGTGGACTCATTTTAAAGGAGGAAAAACAAAACTTTCTGGTGTCTGACAGTTGTTTTGGGTTCCCCTCCAGGTTCCTGATTGATTACCTGTCACATTCAACACGTCTGTCAGACTGATCCTGGCAGACCCTGCTCATCCTCTCCATGGTGCGTTCAGGTGTTCTGTCCTGACGCAGCTATCAGTGGAGCAGACGTAGAACTAAAAATCTTAAAAACTCAGCCATCATGATGATCAGTCTACAGGGAGTCTGTGGGTCCTTGAAAAAAGTATTATATTTATTTTTCTTAAATTAAGGGTCTTTAAAAGTATTGAATTTATGAATAACGTGTAAGTCACATCAGTTTCACCTGGTTGTAGTTTATCATACATATCTACACAAGTTAATCCTACAAAATGTTTTAGCAATAATAAGGTGTTTTGTCTGTTTGGAAGTACAAACCTTTAATATGTTTAAAACTAAACTAAGAGGTAACTGTACTGTGATAAATATAATTCATACAATATCAAATATGAAAAAAAAATAGTACTAAATGACTTCAAGAATTATGATCCTTCCTGTTT